TCCCTCTGAGGGAAATCTCCCTCCATCCTGAGATTGTCTGGATGCCTCACGATTGGCGCCCTTTCTCCTGGTCTTACCGGTTCATATTCTCTTTGCGGGAAATCTCCTTCCATCTTCAGGTTGTCTGGATGCTTGACCATAGGTGCGCGCTCACCAGGACGAACTGGTGTTCTCTCTCGCTGAGGAAAATCTCCTTCCATTTTAAGGTTGTCAGGGTGCTTCACCATGGGTGCACGCTCGCCAGGCCGAACTGGGGTCCTTTCCCTCTGAGGGAAATCTCCCTCCATCTTAAGGTTGTCGGGATGTTTTACAATGGGTGCGCGCTCACCTGGACGCGCCGGCTGTCTTTCTCTTTGAGGGAAATCTCCCTCCATTCTTAAATTGTCGGGGTGCTTGACCATAGGTGCTCTTTCGCCAGGTCGTACTGGGGTGCGCTCCCGCTGTGGGAAGTCGCCCTCTAGCTTGAGATTGTCTGGGTGTTTCACAATCGGTGCTCTTTCTCCGGGGCGAACAGGCTCTCGTTCTCTTTGCGTAAAATCTCCTTCTAGCCTCAGGTTGTCTGGGTGCCTCACAATGGGTGCACGGTCTCCTGGTCCGGTGGGTTGCTGCTTTGGTCGCTCAAAGTCACCCTCCTGCTTCAGGTTGTCCTTTGGCTTGATTGGCTTAGGTCTTTCTCCTGGGCTGACTCGCTCCTTTTGCGGCCTTACGAAGTCTCCCTCCTGCTTTAGATTGTCTTTAGGCTTCTTGACCTCCGCGCGCTCACCCTTCACCGGACTGAAGTCATTGCGAGGCCTCTTCTCCATCTCCCCCTCCATCCGGAGATTGTCTTTTGGCCGTACCACGTCGTACCGTTCGCCCTTGACGACCTTGAAGTCATCCCTGGACCGGACGACGGACATCTCGCCCTCGACTCGTAGATTGTCTCGTTGTCGCTTCTGTGTCTGTCGAGTGTCCTGCGTGACGGCACGATACTCCTCCGACGAGGTGGTCTCGAAGTGACGCTCGCCGTCCTGCTTGGTCCATGTGCGTCTGCGCTTGGGAGTCTCCCGCTCGGCCGTCTTGTGCGTGAACTCGGTGTGCGAGGAGGACTCGAACATCATGCTGCCCTCCGTCGTGAGGTTGTCGCGTCGCCTCTTTACCTCGGAGCGCGACACGACCTGCTGTCCCGTGAAGGCTTCGGAGCTGCTCGTCGTAGAGGTGAACTCGCCCACCGATGTGGTCAGGTTGTCCGAGCGCCGAGTGGGCTTCTCCGGTTGCACCGCCCACCGCTCGGGGAAGTCCTCACGGCTTTGCGTCACCCCCTGCGGAGAAGAAAGTCGTTAATATTTTTTGGCGGAAGAAAACCCCTGATAGCTAGGTAATAAATCACTACTTTCTCAACAGGCTGTACCTCCCACCTCTAATTGCATACTGCACTGCTTACGGCGCTACGTGTACTCACGTGGAAGGTGCCGCCGACGGTGAGGTTGTCCTGGCGTCGCTGCACCGTCTCGGTCCTGGACACTTGCTCGAAGCCCTTGAACTCTGACCTGCTCGTGGTCTCTGTCTCCAGGTCACCCTCCAGCTTGGTCCAGGTGTTGCGCCGGATCATGCGAGGTCGCTCGCTCATCTCGCCGGTGAACTCCAGCTGCTGGGTGGTGATTCCTGCGGAGGAAACATGTAAGGGAACCACACTGATAAAATAAGTATTCAACTGCTAAACACTAGCAAGTGTGCAACTGCAAGTGCAATACCTGTAAGTGTTCAATCCGGTAGCAGTGCACTTGTAACTTGTGCAACTCCTCTGGCTAACACTTCCCACCCAATAAAAAGAGGTGTTCAACCGAGAGCTTGCAAACTTACAAGTCCACAAACTACCGAGTTTAACACTTCAAAGTGCACTTCACAGTCACGGAGTTGAATACTTGGAAGTGTGCAAAGTGCATTTGTACACTTACAAGTGTCAAGCAGTTGCACACTTGATTTATCAGTGCACGCATGCCCACCGCAACTTACCTTGAAAATCTCCCCCCGTGCGCAGGTGATCCTCGTGGCGGCGCACCTCGGCTCGCTCGCCCCGCATGGCGGTGTAGTCCGTGATGATGGTGCGCTGGCCAGTGAACTCGCCTTCCATGCGGAGGTTGTCTGTAGGCTTGACCGCCTTGGGACGCACCCCTGGACTGACACTGGTCGGAGAGGGGCGCTCAAAGTCTCCCTCGAGCCGGAGGTTGTCCGGGTGCTTGATCGGCGCCAGCCTCTCTCCTGGACCCACCGGTGTTCGCTCCCGCTGTGCGAAGTCTCCCTCAAGTTTGAGGTTGTCGGGGTGCTTGACGATAGGCATCCTCTCGCCTGGACGCGCCGGTGATCGCTCTCGCTGGGCGAAGTCGCCCTCTTGCTTTAGGTTGTCTTGAGGCTTCTTGATGGGTGCTCGCTCCCCGGGGCCGAAGGGTGTCCTTTCGCGCTGTGCGAAGTCACCCTCTAGCTTCAGGTTGTCTGGGTGCTTGACAATTGGCATCCTCTCACCTGGACGCACCGGTGAGTGCTCTCGCTTGGCGAAGTCGCCCTCTTGCTTGAGGTTGTCTTGCGGCTTTTTGATGGGCGCCCGTTCCCCGGGGCCGAATGGTGTCCTTTCGCGCTGTGCAAAGTCACCCTCGAGCTTCAGGTTGTCGGGGTGCTTGACAATAGGCATTCTCTCACCGGGGCCGACGGGGGACCTCTCCCTTTTCGCGAAGTCACCCTCCTGCCTGAGATTGTCCTGGGGCTTCTTGATGGGGGCCCTCTCCCCTTTGGTGGCCCAGTCGTTCCTCCGCTCGCCGGTGAAGTCACCCTCAAGATGAAGGTGGTCCTCATGATGGTACCTGCAACATACAACCATCATGGCAGCGAAAGGCGGGTGTGGAAGCACTGCTGTTTGGGTTGGACTGAGAAGCCTTACCTGGTCTGCCTCTCGGCCTTCTTCTCGTCGAAGTCGTGTCGGTAGGCCGTCTCGCTGGGCACGACGCCGTCAGAGAGCGTGAGCTGCGTGTGCAGGCGCTGCAGCCGGGGCCGGTCCACCTCGTGCAGGTCCCAGGCGTGGTACGCCTCGCGCGCCTGCGTCGTGGTCTCGAAGGTGGTGTCCGTCGGCCGGAGGGGGTTGTCCTCGTGGCCGCCCGTGTGCGGACAGCGGTGCCGCCTGCAACATATTGAGGCGACCGTCAGTGACACCGCGGTGGTGGTGGTGGTCGGGTGGGGGCAGGTGTGTCTACTGCACTAGCAAGATCGATAGGGCCCGGCGCGCCGCTGGGAATCGAACCCGGATATGCGCCGGCTGGGGTCAGCGCCCTAGCATGGCCACATTGTGGGCGTTACTGCATGTCGCTGTGTGCGTGAGCTTTGGGTCAATAACGAGGACAGCAGCAGCCTTTTTTTACGGCTACGTCGCTGACGGTGCAGGTGAGGTTGAGGAGGGCCGCGACCTACTCGTCCTTCTCCTGTGCAGAAGGAGGAAGGATGGCAGAGTCGTAAAGGACCGGGGGGCATAAACATGAGTGTGTCGGCTGGGCCCTTGTCGCCGGGGCGCCTCGCACGTGGGGTGGGTCAGGGACCCCGGGGAAGAAAAGGGGAGGGGGTGGGGTGGAGGAGGGCTGCAATGTCCCTCGCCGAGGGTATAAGCCGCCTCGAAGCGCGCGAAAAGAGGCCCCGTCAGCCGCCTACGTGCCGTGAGGGGGCTGCAGCAAAGGGTCTTTTGGCCGCGCTCTGTCGGTCGACGTCGCAACACTGCTGCTGCTGTAGAGCTGGGGAGAACGTTATCGCGTCGCGGTAATGACAGCCCGCGTGATTAGCTCCATGCATAGCGAATGTACCCTGCGTGTCCTTCCCCGGGACTCCACCGAGATTTCAACGCTATTCTCGAAAAAAAAAAATCTTTACCACTTTTATATGTTTCATTTTCATCATGATAAACGCAGACCGCTACGGTACAGGGTTGGTGTGCGGAATACTTATACGACCCTCATTGTAGCACACCAACCACCACCAGGGTTTGACGGTGTTTTGCCCTCGACGAGTTGTTGTGTGGCTCGGCGGCCCGCGGCTCTGTCAACAACAACTTCGACTGCTGCAACGACCATGTTAACCAACCTAAAAGCGCGAAGGCCGGCGCTGCAGTAGTGCGCCGCTGTGTGCGCCGCCGCCATTCGCCATTCACGGCAACAAACTTTACTCCTCCCGAGTGGCCCCGCGGGGCCGCCGGGCCCTGGGCCCCGGGCCCGAAGCACAGCAGAGTTTTGGCAGAGCGAGGCGAGCGCCATAACGGAGGGGCTGTGTGGGGCGCAATTAGTGCGGCTGAGTGTATTGAGCCGGCAGATAACGCCACCGCCGCCACCGCGGCCCTATAGCGTACCGCACTCCCCCAGGTTAATGTGTCGTAAAAAAGCCGGGATCGATTGGTGAGATCTTCCATCCGAAACCGTCGCTCGAAACCCCTGACAATAAACTTTTAAAAAATCAATCAATGCTTATTTCATTTCAGGGGCGTGGCTATTGTTAGGAGACGCGATTACTCAAAGAATAAAAACCGTAAAATTAACCACAACAGCTCGCTCTCGCTCAAGTCTTGCCTGTGAACGGGCCCCCTATGCAACGCTTGCGACCGCTCGGCCCGACCTACTTGGCCGCGCCGGTGTGTGGGGGGTGGCGTCGGGGAGACACGGTTATCGGTGAGGAAGGCTCGCCCTCGCGTATAATAGATGGTGGTCCCTCGGCGCAGGGGCCGGGCCACCCCACTCGCAAAGCACGACAACGATCCCGGACGACAAACCCACACACCACCATGCCCGGCCCGGCAAGTTCCGCCACCTCGTCCTCGTCGCGTTGCCTTCCTGCTCAGGTCGACGAAAAGGGGAAAAAATGTGTATATGATAATAGGTATATAGCTACCCCTCGGCTAGCGTCACGGCGTGGCTCGGAACTACCAAACTACGGGGGAAAGGGCACACGGCGCTGAATACTAATCTCGTGGCGCTGGGCCGGGGCTTCCCCCGGCCCCCGGCCGCCTCCGCTGCGGCAGCCACGGGGTACGGCGCCCTTGGGTGGGCGGTACTTTTGCCGGGCCCTTCAGCGAATCGAAACCGGCCGCTCAGAGACGTGTACTACTGCGAGAGCCATAATCTAGATTACGCGAAGTTAAAACGAGCGTGAGGGTCGGGAGCAGCAGCGTGACCCCGTGTGGTTCAGAGAAGGGGGCCGCGGGGGCGGTGGGGGCTGCGCAAGGTCGAGGTTGGGGTAGGTAAAGCCGGGGGGGGGGGGGGCTCTTTCCCCCTCCCCCCTCTCCACCCCGCTGCGTTGAGAGCTGCAGCTGCCCGAGCTCCAGCTCCAGATCGGGCGCGCTGGGCGCGCTCTCTCCCCCGAGCGCCTGGTGGGTAGGCACGCCCGTTGCGCAGGGCTGCGCCGCCCGGGTGAGGGTTGCCTACCCCCAGGGGGCTCCCGTCCCCGCGCGTTCTGCCGCCGCGCCCCACCGCTAACACCAGTAGCAGGGCGTGCCTGCGGGGTGCGTGATAACTACTAAACGCGTGTCTTACTTTAAACCCGTGTGCATTTTGTTGTCCATAAACACATGCAGCATGGCGTGCAGCCATAATTTTATGCACACTTTCATGATGTTCATTTCGAGCAGCTATGAACAATTTATACACAATTTTGCGTTTATGCGTTCTTATGGCTGCACGCCATACTGTATGTTTGTGCACAACAAAATGCATAAAGGGTTAAGTGTGTTCTAGATGCCGTGAACAGGTTGGGAAAGAATCAGTCCCTACCCTCTGACGGGCACGTGCTCTGGCGAGTTGGCGGCAGACGACGCTGAACTCGCGGGATCGTAGTCGTCCGCGTCCTCGCCGTCCTCGTCCTCCTCGTACAACGGCGTCCTGGCGGGTATCACCACGCGGTAGAACTGCACCGCCGGCGCCGCCATGCTGCCCTTCTGCCGGCCCGAGCGACGCGCGAATAATGATACCCGTTTGTTAGTCGACCCTTCGGCGCGCTCTAGCCTCGTGGCGGCGGTCGGCTCTGGACGTCGGCGTCCTGGGCGAAGGCGGCGGCCGCCACTCTGGACGCGGACACGGTGACGTGCGGGTCCGCGGCGCCGCGCCTGCGCTGGAGCACCTTGCCGACGACCGCGGCGGCGCGCTTCAGGTGCCGCAGCCAGCCCATGCCTCCACGACGAGCCACGCCGTCGTCGGGACCTCGAGACTGAAGTACTTCAGGTCCCTTACTCGCGAGAGCGCGAGCCCACGCAGTCCCTGCGCCAACCGGCGTCCGACTGTCTGTCCGACTCGCCGTCCGACTGTCCGACCGGCTGTCCGACCGGCTGTCCGACCGGCCAGCGACTGGCGCTCCCTCCTCGGCCACGCCGACCTGTGCCTGCGCTGGCGGCGACCACCCCCGCCCCTATTCGTCCATGGCACCGGGAGGGGAGGGGAGAGGGGAGGGCGGAAAGGTCGCCGACATTCACTTGCCAGAGGGGAGGGGGAGAGATTGGGGGGTAGGAAAGCCACCCCCCTTCTCTCCCCCGCGCGCCCGGAGGCACTCTAGTCGCCCCCTCGCCTGCCCATTAAAAGGGTGGACACAGGTAGTTGATGGCACGGACACGGGTGGGGGAGACACAGCGGCGATGTGATGGCCATACGCCACCTGTGAGGACAGACTGTCCCTGGGAGGAGTTGCCTCGCGGCGCAGTGAGCAGCTCTAACAACCTGAGCAAACTGCCCCCTTCCACCTCTCTACTTTCTGGCAATTCTCCTGGTGCCTGGCAGGGCCACCTCCTTGTCTCCCTGGTGTGACTCTTCGAAAAACATAAGTCTGACCACTATAACTTATCACAGTCAACACCACCACTTCAACCAAGAAATTTTCAGAACTAGTGTTTTGTTATCGCGTTTCGTTGCCCGCGTCCCGACTCTCTCAGTCTCTCTCGCACTCTGTCCCGCCCTATCCTGCCGTCGCCCGCGCCCCGCGCCCCCTTACTTACTTCCGACGCCACACTCTGGGTCGGAAATAATCACAAGCGCCTTGCGAGCCCCGCTGCGGTACGGTGTACGGCCCGTCTCAGTGCCGGGGCGCGGGCTGGCAGAGAGGCAGGCACCTTGGCGGCAGGCCTTCCTACTGCACAGGTGTCCCTAGAGCCGAGGTGGAGAGGGGCGACTGAATCGGGATGAGCCGAGGAGCAGGCCAGCAGGCCGTGGGGTTCGCTCGAGGTACACAAGGAGGGGCGGTCGAGGGACCACATGACGGGGATGAGGATGAGGGTGGTCGGGTACCGCAGCGTGCTGCAGCAGCCGCCCGACTGATCGAATTCACTACTTGGCCTACTTACCCACCTCACCCCTCCCCTCCTCTTGCTCCGAAAAACAGCAGCAGCAGCAGGGCGGACCGGCAATGCGGTGCCCGGCCCCGGCGGGGCGGGGCGGCCGGGGACGGCCGCATGGGATCCATGAGATCAAGGTCAGGGCTGCGGGAGCGCGGGGAGGAGGGGGGGTTGCTGTGCGGTGACACGGGCACCCGCTGATGCACCGGCCATGGACGGGGAGGGAGGGAAGGAGGAATGTATAAATAATTCCTTGTCCTAACCTGGAGAGTTATCTTCATCATTTTTTCAACGCTCTCTATACCCAAAAGAAGGTAAAGTTTTCGTGTTCTCCCCGGGCATTGAGATGAAGGTCGGGCAAAAAAAAATCATTGTGGCGAAAAAGAAGTGTGTCACTCTATGTAAGGCGGGAAGATAATAAATTCGCACCGTCCTGTCTGCAGGACGATCCTAATTACCCCTCAGGCTGCGAAAATTGCAATAAATCTCTGATTGCGATTGCGTCACCGGCGGCCACGACTTCCGGCGGTCAGCCGTTCGGTTTAGCATAACAAGAGGAGTGTGGGAACGCCCTTGCGGTGGGCAGCGTGGTGCTATGGGCCGAGGGGAGCGGAGGTCCAGCACGGAGTCCTCTTCCTCGGAGCTACTGCCTTTAGTTAGACCGATCAAGAAATTTAAAATAAAGAGATTTGCGAGTAATTTTTGTTTTCTCCCATCGAGTCCCGAGCTCTCTGCTCATGTGCTTATTGCTGAGCGAAGCGAAGCTCTCCGGAACAGTGGACCGAGCTCTCC